AATAATAGGTAATATTTATGTAATACTTACTGTATCAAATGCTTTACCTCATTCAGTTTTCAAAGAAGCTTTATGGAGTATTAGTGTTACCTTTATTTATATGTGAAGCAACTGAAGGATGCAGAGGTTAGATAACTAGCCCAGGCACACATACTTAGAAAGTGGAGGAACAGTCTTGCTCCCGAGCCTGGAGTCCATTATGCCATCTGTTACCTCAGATCCAGCCTGCCACCATTTATAGGTTTTCTAGGAGGGCAACATAGCAGTGTAAAGGAGAAACTATAACGAAGAGGGTTTGTTTTGGGTGCTACTCATTTCCTTTTTCCTCTTTCTCTTTCTAATACTTCTTTTGTCTAGGCATTCCTTCTGATTGCTCAAACCTACCAAATAGCATTATATTATTAATATCATCGTAGGTACCTAATACATATCTGTAGAATAAATGATTGCAAACTCCACTGGGGCAGGCATTGTTATTTACATTTTATGGGTGTGGAAGCTGAGCTCTAGGAAATTAAATAACTGCTGATGGTTACGTAGTTCATTAGTTGCAGAACCAGAGCTTCAGTTCATCTCTGATTTACTCCAAGTTCTGAACCTTTCCACTGGATTATAAAGCTTTCCATATAATTCCTTTCCAGGACTTTCTCCTCACCAAAGCTTCAATATAACACTTTCTTTTCTCTCTTCTCTTTCCTTTTCCCTCCTTCTGGTCTCTATATCAAAATATTTCAAACCTTAGTTTGCTGAGTGAGCTCTCCTTGGAATCAAGAAGAAAGTAAACTGGGTGAAAAATCCTACCAACGGGAATAACTAATATCAAGAAATAACAACAATAGTGGCTGCAACTTAGTACTATTATGTGCCAGTTAATCCTCACAATGGCCTCATGGAGTAGATATTTTCCTTTTTTATAGATGAGGAAACCAAATAGGACTTGGAATTAATCTGTATTCTCTCTGGCTGTAAGTCATACCATCCCAGAAACTACATTTTACTGTTAAAAGATTATCCTGTCACCCAAAAATCCCTTCGATAGGACTGACCGACAAAATAAGTAAGGAAAAGAACATTCCAACAACATGAAAAGGTTTTCAAATGAGGTTAGGCCAGAGGTTCTTAATTCTGGCTGCATATTAGAGTACTCTGGGGAGTTTCCAAAAAATACCCTGACCTCATCACAAACCATGCAAATTAGAATCTCTTCAATGAGAGCCCAGAAAGATTTTTTTTTTTTTTTAAACTTTTCAGGTGATTCCAATGTACAACCAGGGTGGAGAACGACACTGCATCTGCAGAGATGTGTATAAGAATAGCCATGAACTTGTAGAATCATGGTGTTCACATGTGGTGGTGCTCAACAGATGTGTATAGATAGATTGACTGAAATTTGGAAAGAGCTTTGAAATCTGGGAAGTTAAGATGATGTGCATTGAAAAATTCAAGTACTATAGAGGTATATTGTATAAATGTACATCCTTGGTCATGAGTAAAATGTACATAAAATTGTGCCTTAATTGTGCTAGTTTGGAAAGTCAGAGTTCTCTGCTAACCCTTTTATTATACTGTTATTTATAAAATTATATCTTTATGTTGGTTATGACATCATGAACACCTTTCACAATCCACAGTGTTCTACGGATGGAGAAAAGCCAGTTATGTGTCTCAGCACATGGTAGTTGTAATTGCTACTTCCTTCCCTTCTCTTGTCTTCTGATCCTTTCCTTTCCCTTTTTATCTCTTCCTTTCTCTACTCAGCAGAGAAATTTGAGAGATACTAACAGGGACGAAAGTGTTAATTTTATAGATTAAAAAATGAGTCAATGTGTTTTTGCAAATCTCTGATCAATACAATTTATAAAGAAGAAAGAGTTGATAATAGAGTTTGGGCCCCTGATTCTCAACAAAACAACCAAGAAGACCAGTTTTTATATACCATTTTGTTTAAATTCTTTCTCTTTCCAAAAATTATTTGAAGTTGCACTGAACATAACTGCAGAAAATCCATAACATATAAAAATGAGAACCTTGGAAAAGAGAATGTAGCAATATGATAACCATAGGACTTAGCAGAATTTTGTCAATGTGTAAGAAATTTACAGTGGGTTTCCTGGTAGGGGAAGAAACGTTTTACATAGGCGTAGTTAGTAGAAAAGAGGAAGTATATAGAGATTACTCAGGAATGACAAGAAACTTCCTCCACAAGACCTCATAGGGGACATTTTGTGTCAGAATAGCAGCATCCTTGACTACAGCTTCAAAATAAATACCAAATAGTTTCATTATTACTGTTCCTTGTAGCTGAAGACATAACATTAAAGCCCAACTCAGTGAGGTTGATCTTCGAAAGAAATGTCAAATTTGAGCAGATCTTTATAACATATTCATTTTTTCTTCAATTATTTTTACCATTTCCTCCTTGTTTTCCTTTATTAGAGATTTAAGTCACAGTACAGATGAATGAGTTCTGTTTTTAACCTAGCACATAATTTTGTGTCTCTCTGGTAAATGTTTACTAATAGAGAAATTTAGAATTTATTTTTAGTTTCTTGGGATCCTTCGAAGGCCTGAGATCTTCCTTGTCTCATTTTTGTTTTCATTTTCCTTAAAATAATGTTTGTTGATGGAAGAGAGGCTGACAGACTGTGTAGTTATGCTGGAAGGAGGCAAGACCAGGACTCATGTGGTTGATGTTATTGGTTGTGGGCAAAGAACATCTTTCCTCCAGTGACTATGCAGCTACAAAAGTAATGGTGAGATTTAGTGCAACTTAAAATATTATGGTGGCAAGTGTGAGAATGGATAAAAAAGTAAGAGATGCTCTGCTTCTTCCAATTAAATAAACTAGCAGAGACCTACCTTCCCAAAAGACTCTGAATTCCACGTTTGGCATTTTTTTTTTTTTAGCCTAGAGTCTTCTGCTGGTGTTGTCTGATCCTCAGAAGGAATGGTGAGCTGAATTTGAACTGAATGGAGAAGGCGATTTTTGCCATGCAAAATTTGTTTGTGTAAACTTGAATTTCAGTTGTCTTTTTCATTTTCTTTTTGGCAGCAAACATTAATGCTTGAGGACACGCTGCCACTCATTTCTGGGAAGCACCAAATATTTGGTTTTTATCTGTATTCAGTTTCAAGTTGTTTCTGTAGATACTAAACATAAATATTTAGATAAAACAAGCTTATAAATTATGTAATTTACTCCATCACTTGTGGAATTATGAATTTTTTCCTGTGATAGATTGAAAAATTTATTGAACATTTATTTTGTAAAAGACATTATAATAGTAATAAGTGCGGAGTAGGGGGATACATTATACATATAGACATGGGGATAGCCCACTGTAAACTTCCACTCTAGTTGAGAATTGAAAATATTAAATTAGTTTAATTATTTTAAGTAGAATGTTTTTAAGAGGCAAAATTATTCATTATAGTGAAAGTTTAACATGCATATGTTTAGGGCATCATAGAAAAGAGAGTGTAATGAAGTTAGAGATAGGTTCAGAATAGCTGGATTTTAAACCAGGTATTAAAAAGAAACATCCTCATGGATTAGTAGAGATGGCTGAATTAGGAAGGAGGAAGATTAAGGTCATGCTTTGAAAGTTGTCTTATGTTTTCTGAAAACTTCTTGATTTGGAGAATTCACCTGATAACATTACAATATTAACATATAAGCAATAAGTTACTTTTAAAATGTGATTGAGGCTCTGGTGAATGACTCATTTATTGCAAGTATTTGAAGCACAACATTGTAACATGACAAAATAATAATAATAATTAATTTAAATTACTTTTGACATGTGTTTTAATAGTGTATGATGTACATATATAAAACTTTGTGTACGAACCCAGTAAGTTCCTTAATGTTCAGATTATACATTTTTTATAGTGTATAGTTTGTGTAAACTTGAATTTTAGTTTTCTTTCATCTATCATTCATCATCTCAGTAGTGGGAGTACCCTTCATGTTTTATTTAAAGAATTACACTTTAGTTTTATATTTCTAGAATTATGGAGAAAGGTATTTTTCTTTGCTTTTATTTTAAAACTAAAATTCTGAAAACAATATATTAAGGTCTCTCTTCTGATCTTTTAAAGTTAAAATTTTAAAAAGAAGTTTTGAGTTTATTTTGGATTGTTTTTGCAACATTATTGCATTTATCTTTTAAGATTCTTGCTTTTTTTTTTTCTTATTAAAGGGGTTTCTGGAACCTATACCTAAAAGAAACCTGAAAAATGAGTCTTCTCTGACTCATACACACAAAATGGCTTTTAATATTGTAGTCATTCTTCATTTAGACATACTTCATTGGGGCAACTAATTAGTCATGATGAAAAAAGGTTCTGTTTTTTTCCTCTTTTTAATTCATATTTCCTTTCTCAAGAATCCATTGTCATCCATCTATCCATCCATTTATTCTTTTATTTGTTCATTAAATATACATCAAGTACCGATAGTATTTAAGAAAATGAGCTGTTGTGTGTGGATAGGTGAGAAGTGCTACAAAAGCGCCTACATCATGAGACTTAAAACTTTGGGAGACAAAATTAGAAAATGTTAATTTCCACAAATAAGGATTAAGTAACATGCTTTAAGAATTTACAGATAACAAAGAAAATTTGTACTTCTTAGGAAGGTACAGGTAAGCGCTTCAAAAATATGTTTCCAGTGAAACTGACCTATTTAATCCTTGTTTTTTTTTTTTTTAATGAAGGAACATGTTTTATTCCTTCATATTTAGTAAAACAAATATTAATAGATATCTGTTCTCAGCTCAAAATGCCTAAAATATGCTTAGGTTTTCAAGACATTTCACATCGTAAGTACTTTTATTTTTTGTAGTTAAAATACAGATGTTATTAAATACTCATTAAAATTACAAAGTATGAAGAGCTATCTTCCCTCAAAGTTGCAATGCTGCCATGTCTTTGAGAAGTGCTTATTGTGATCTTTGCTCATTTTTCTTTTGTTTAATATTATACTATGTTATTTTCAGAGGCAAAATCAGTAAAGGACTGGAAGATTTAAAACATGTTGTTCCAACAGGAGAGACATACATCCATGAAGGACTGAAGCTTGTAAGTTCTTTTACATTTATGAGTATGGGAGAGAATATTTTCTTATTCTGCAATGAAATAAATTATAACTCTCTAGTAAAACTCAAAGACCACTGTACATTTTATCTTAGAAAAAATTTTTTAATGCTTTTTGTTCTAGGGATGAAACTCATAAAAAAACATTATCATGGTAACAAGAAAAGTTTAGATGACATTTTGCCTTTTAAGGAATTTTCTATTTTCTCTGTGGTTATATTTAGACTAGTCAACCAAAGTTAAAAATCTATGTCATTTACACTCGATAGTAACTACTCTATAATGTAAATAAATGAATATTTTAAATAAAATAGTTAACACGAATATTGTGTTTTAAAGGCCAGTCCATAATATTTCAATTTTGTCAGACTTACAAATTCAGCTTGATAAAACATACTGGTTAAAAGTTAAGATTAAATCATGAGTTGGATAATTATTCTTCATTTTCAGGCAAATGAACAAATTCAGAAAGCAGGAGGCTTTAAAACCTCCAGTATCGTAATTGCTCTGACAGATGGTAAGTTGGACGGTCTGGTGCCATCATATGCAGAGAAAGAGGTGAGTATTGAACTGAAGCTATTCTTTACACCCCAGCCTTCTCATATATATGTATATATAGCCTGATATTTGAATAATATGCCCCCCTGCCTCTTTCTCCATAGGCAAAGGTTTCCAGGTCATTTGGGGCTAGAGTTTATTGTGTTGGTGTCCTTGACTTTGAACAAGCTCAGGTGAGTACAGCAGATCTGCAGACTTTAATCTCAATCACATAATTGTCTTAAGGATAGTTTATCTAATTCTTTCACTGATGACTTATTATGACACAAATTGGTTGTTGAAGATTTCCTATAAAAATGGGCGTTGCCTTGATTAATAATGTCTGATTTTGGCAGGTTTCATAACTGAAAACAATACTCTAAATTACTTGAACATCTATTTAGTTTGGAGTACCTAACATAGGACAGATATTTGGGTTAAAATAATATGAGTACTCCCGTTCTTTAACTCAACTAACAAGATCATTATGGCAGTCTGATTTAGCATTTCAATTTGATGTAAAGCTGGACTCTTAAAAGTGTGGGAATTTGAAAAGTTCACTTATATCTTTAATAATTTTCCTTACAAAAAGCATTTTTTTCATGAAGTTTTAAAGGTTTATATATTAAATTTTTTCCTACTCACAAAGTGATTTTACATTTAAATTTTTGGTCGAACATGACTAAGCCTCTCGTGTCTTGTGACATTTACATTTAGTAGAGCTCTGCTTTGTTTTGAAATTGAAATTTGAGGCCAATCTAAAAGGGCTGTGGCTAATCTCAGTTCATTTCATCGTGATACATTGAGAGTAACATTAGTACCATCATCTTTAATTCCTGACAGACTACGTTAGTGAATTAATCCTGCAGTGTAATTTTTCAGAACATAATTGAAATGCAGTGAGGTTTATAAAGTATTATATGTCTCAACCACACTCAATTACATTTTCTTCGTTTTTCTAAAGCTCGAAAGAATTGCTGATTCCAAGGAACAAGTTTTCCCTGTCAAAGGTGGATTTCAAGCTCTTAAAGGAATAATTAATTCTGTGAGTATTTCTTCATAGGTACAAAAGGGTCATAATTTTAGATTTGTTTTAAGCTGTAAAAAATAATCTTGATATCCAGTTCAGGTGGTCATTATTTTGAAGAAAGAGATTAAGAAGAAAGTTTATATTATGAACACAGTGTAATCCTGAAGACCGGGATTTTGTTCATAAGAGAGATTTGGCATTAATTCTTGTAAATTGAGCTCTGTGAGACTGTGATTTTAAGTTTAAGATGTTCATAAACAGTCTCAGATACTTCCACCCCTTGAGCATGGAGTTCCTCACCGTCTAGCTATCTCGAGCATTTTATAGGCCTTGTGGAAGAAGTGTTAAATGAAAGTTTAGACTGGAATGTGCGATTACTCCCTCTTTCCAATATAGTATTTCTCAGCTATCAGTCAGGCAACTTGGACCAGCAGTGGAGTATTTAACTGCTATTGTTCTTTCCATTTTAATGATTAATAGTTTCACTGGCACTCGTAATATTTCTATTTCAAATTCAGTTGAGCTGTCTCTGGTGATCATTAGAATATGGGCTATCCTAAAGAGAGTACGGGGAAGTGGAGTGATGAAATGCAAAGCAAAACTCCTGGGTTTTCACAGCTGAGGTTTATGTTTCGTTTTACTGCCTTTTGCTAGAAGCACTAGGAACAGTTGCTATTAAGTATTTATGATATTTTGGTAAACATCATCCTAAAATGGAAGTGAATAATATATATTCTCTAAGCCAAAGATTTTCCTTTAATCTTTAGGTATTTATTGAAGGAAAAAAAAAAATCTCTGGTTCTTCTGACTTTTGGTTCAGGCATTTAAAATTTCTCTTTAAAGATCATGTTTTTCAGGAACACAGAGTGAGATTGGATTTGGTTTTAGTATCATGTAGGCTTTTTTTCTTTTCTAATTAATGGAGCTTTTCAGATAAAACATATAATTTGGTCCTATCGCATATCAGTTCTTCTAGTGAACAGGCCAAATGTAAATGCAGAATGGAACAGAGATTTAAATATTTTAGGAGCGTACATATGTTATTGTACATATATTAATTAATATTAATTTTTAGGAAAAATTGCAATATAAAAATAATAAATATTTTAATAACTGTATTCAAGATAAATACTCTACAACTGTGATTTGTTTTGAAATATAGGAAAATGAATGGACAATGCAAAAGAGAGGATATATTTTAAATAGAACTTTATTGTGCTTGGGAATTTACAATTATCTTTATAATTATACTGGGAAGGAGAAAAGACCTCTCTGGGTTATACCCTTGGAATTTTTTTTTTCTTTATATAAAAAAGTTTAATTTAAAATTTTCCAGGTAACTGATTGTCTTTTCAAAACTCTCTTTTAACTAACTGAAAACAGACTCGCAAATATAGAGGACAATCTGGTGATGGCCAGGGGGGAGGGGGATTGGGGGCTGAGAGAAAGAGGTAAAGGGCTAAAGAAGTATAAATTAGTAGTTGGTAGATGGTCATGGGGATGGGGAGCAGGGCACAGGGAATGCAGTCAACAGTAATGTAATGGCTATGAGTAGAGCCAGAGGGAAGTAGAGTAACCGGGGGTCATTTCATAAACTATATAAATGTCTAACCAATGTTCTGTATACTTGAAACTAATCATAAAATAAAATGCTAAAATACTCTTCTCTTTTAATGGGTTATGACTACAGATTTCTCCTTCTAGAAATTTGTAATTGACAACCAGAGGAGGTAAAGTTGTTGTTGCTTTATTATATTTATTTGTTAAATTTCAGTTTTAAAAATTTCATCAACAATTTTAGGCAATGGAATTTTTAACTGTAGTCTTTCTTGCCTGAAATTGTTGATGGACTTTAGCTTCAGTAAGTTATGTTGAAAGATTTAGCATGATATTAGAAAGACTTGTGTTATTTTAGCTATAAATTACAAACAAAGCCTCTTGAGTTTCATCTGTCAGGAGCTGATGAGTATAGCTTTCATCTCAATTTAGTTAAACTCCAGCTATTTTGTCACAAAGGGCGGTGTAAATTATTCTCAGGGTAGTCAGCCTCTGGGGAAAACCTGACAGTAACTTGGCAAAGTTGGTAGGTAGAAAAATGGAGCTTTTACAACCAAAGTTGATCTCACTAATGACTGAGATTTTTATCAACATTATGATCGTTTGGGATTTTTGCCCACTTTGTAGAACTTTAAGGCACTTTAATCACTTTATCTCTCTTCAAGGCAGAACATGCTCCACACGATAATATACAAAAGCTATAATTCTGCCTGAAATTCAAGCTGCATTTTATACTTACAAAGTACCATCTTATCTTTAAAAAACTTATATTTAGTATTTAAAACAAATATAGTATCCATTTCAGGGTAAGGGCAGACAGAAAAGAATATCCCTCTATTTTTCATGATTTACCAAACTAATAGATAAAATTGTACTTGGAATGTATTTATACAAAGCTAAGAAGCAAATGGAAGAAATGAGAAAATTTAAGTCTTTCAGATGTTGGTACCACGAAGGCAAAATATTTGCTAACGTGATAGATAATTTTTTTCTGGCTAGAAGTTATTTAAATACATCTGGCCTCATTAATTGTCAATACATTAATTTATTTGAAGTTAATTTGTAATTGAGAAACATTGATAACATGGTTTTCCTGTTTTCTCTGTCCTCCCCACCCTTCCCACCAAAATCTATAACCTGAATAGTCTGGTCCCCTTACTGTAGAGGATATCACATTTTGTAAAGACATAGTGTTATCGAACAGAAAGTTTGTCCACCCAGCGCTGTCAGAGCCAAACACTAAAAACACCGAGAATTGCAGTGGGAAATATTGGCTATTTTATTATGAATAGTGCCACACAGGAGAATGGAAAGCTAATGCCCAAAAGCCCAAACGCCTCCATAGTGTGTAGGTTACAGAGTACAAGACACAATGAATTAGGGGGTTTCCGGATCGTGCTGGGAGCTTAATGGTTAGAGGTGAGGTAAAGGTAATGAATCACTTTTTTTTAGGTCTTTAGGGCAGTTCTGAGGTCAGTTCCAGAGTCCTTCTGTCTGGTTTTATGGGAAAGTAGCCAGGGAGTCATTTCACCTCAGGACTCAGGAGCTGAAACATAACTTAGTTCAAGATGTTATCTTTAGCCTGCAGTGGTCCAGACTGTGAGACTATTAGTCAGGTCGGGCTACTTCTCCCACTGCCTCAGGGATTGCTGATTATCTGGGGAGAAAGGCTAGGTCTCCGAGGGGTATATATTTAGAGAGAGATGATTTCTAGAACTAAGATTTAAAGCTAAATTTAATCAAAGTCATTCGGACCCTCGGTTTCATTTGTTTGTCTAGAATCAACTTCTTATCAGCAAGGATACGAGTTTCATTTTGGAGCCTTTCTTTATTGCAATTAAAAAAAAAAGAAATGCTAGTGGTTCTGTCTTTTATAACTTCCAAAGCAAAGGACTAAAAATGGCCTTTGTTATATTTGCATGTTAACAATTTAATACCTTTGTAAAACTAAATTGATTTAGACAATCATTTTAATGCTTTATGTTAATTTGGAAGAAAAATATCATTTGAAAATTTTTAGATTTCTATCCAGGCAAACATATATGATGTTTTTTGGAACATTGATTTAATTTCCAATCTTAATTAGTACTTATGAAGATTTAAAATTTATTATTATCTCAAGTAGATATTGGTGAAAAACTTTCCCTCTTTTTCACTCTACTTTTACCATTATCTAATTTATTCTTCTATTTACTCATTTATTGAGCTCTTAGTAAGCTTAGGGCATTGTGTTAGGCTTGGAACAGGGGACACATACTTAAGTAAGACAAATTCTCTACTTTAAAGGGGCTTGAAAATAATGATAATTTGAGGTTTGGAATATGGTGGTCCCCTGAAAAAATTACTAAGTGTGGGAATTTGGAGGAGGGGGATTTCAGTTAGTCACCCTATGTAATAAAAAGAAATCCTATAATGCAATTTGTGTTAAAATGCCAATATGGCTAAAGTTGACAGGAGGGTGGGATAAGTTTGGTTCTGTGAAGTCATGGAAGGCTTTTTGTGGTGGGATTTGAACTGTACTCTGACAATTAGAGTAGATTTAATTAGAAAAAAAGAACACAGCTTTAGGAGCAGCCTGGGCTGAGTGGCTGAGGCAGAGGAGGGAATGTGGCTTGGCTTAGATTATGGAGAGATATGGAGGGTAAACATTGTCGGGTAGGTTGGATCCAGATTATGGAGACCCTTAAATGTTTGGATGGGGAATTGGCACTTATTTCATAAATAATTGGAGAACCATAGCAGATTAATTCATAGCATGAGATTTATATGTTAGCAGTGAATGTTTAAGAAGAATATTCTTATGATAATGTATAGGCTGATTTGGAAGATGGAAAAGTGTGTTGTAAATCTCTTACAGTAGCCTTTGTGAGACATGGTGAAAGGAAACGTAATGTCACAGAGACAGTGTAAGATTGGGACTAGGAAGACCCGAGTGTGAGTTCCAACTCTGCCTCTGCCTGGCCATGTGAAATTGTGTATATCCTATAATATAATTTGATTTTAAAATTCTCATTAGTCAATAGGGATAGCAACATTCATTTCATTGAGTTGTTTTGTGAATTAAATGAGATAATGATTAAGAATGATCTAACTCAGAAGGGTTGGGCTTTAAAATATTTGGTAGGAAGCTAGGACGGGGTGTAGTATGGGGTTATTGATCCTTCTGTAGGGCAGAGAGAGATGGCCAAAACGATCAATGATTTAGGTCTAGAAGGGTATGGAAATGAGAGAATCAGATCTAGCAAGTGGGTCCTAATTAAAAGGATTTCTAAATGGTAGAGCTGCCTAAAGTTAAGTATCTGTCTGTGCCATAGTTCCAGATCCTAGGCCATCAGACTAGCACACAGTCCACAACTGGGAAGAGAGATTTGGTATTCCCAAGACAAAAGCTAGTAGAGTTTCAAGCGTCTGCATTCATTAAAGAGCCACATTCTTGTGGGGGAAGCTGTAGTCCTAAT